CTCCCTCCCTCCCTCCTTCCCTCCCTCCCTACCCACCTCTTGACACCGGCTCACTCGCAGCCTGTCGAAGCCCGTCTCCCGCCGGCAGTCCTCGCTCCGGGCGCCTGCCTCGTTCAGCTCCAGCTTCATGTCGATCCCTTCCTCTCCCTTCTGGAAGGGCGAGGGCGCCTGTGGAGGGAGGAGGTAGGGGTGGGCGCGAACGGCGGCCATGTGGTTTTGTAGGGCGTGCATGGGCCCGCCTGGGAGGAAAGGGAGGGGGGAGGAGGCGGGGAGGGGGAAGCTGAGAGAATCATTCCTTCGCACAAAGCCGTCCCACTTCAAAGGTCGGCGCAACAGGCAACAGGCACAACGGGCGACAATGGCTCCTCCATGGGCGGGAAACACGATGCGTACGCTACTGCGGACTGACTCATGCTCGATATCGACTCATAAGAGGGCTTTATAGTGAGGCGGGCGTACGGAGACACCCCACTCGTAGCTCACCTAAGGTGGCGTTCACTCCGTCCCACGCTACCCGCACCCGGCCCTTAAGACCCAAGGCTGCGCATGCTTTTTCGTACCAACAAGCCAAGTGCTCCCGCTTGTCCACATGGTCATTATCCTCTTTCCGTGCCAAGGGGGAAGGGCCCTCAGGGGACGATGGCGGGGTTGAGGGACAGAGCGAGGACGGATGAGAGAGAGGGCGGTAGGCATAGTACAGCAGAATAGCGGGGCGTGTGTCTAGGTCTTGGACAGCAGGTGGTGTTGTCTGAAGCGGAGGAGCCTGGGGAAGAGTCTGCATGGTGCCAATGTGAAGTAGGTGACTCTGCTTGCACCCGAATAATGTTGGAAGAAAAAATGCGAGAGTCCCTTTCCACCCGGTGAAGCAATCCGTCCCCACTCTGAAGACTGCCTGGAAGATATTGTATTGATTGCACTGGTGAGAAAATTCATGAGTCGCATGTGCTACTTGTCGGTGCCCATGTCTAAACCGGAGTACCCGTGTCTCAGAGGCAATTATCTCTCTACAACCAACATCTCAAAAAGACCTACACCCAAGTCCACGTAAGTATCTGCTTCAATCGCATAATTACCTCAATTTTATCATTTTACAACCACCAAACGCCTCGTTTCTCCGCAATTATGGACATTTTGGCCCCTCTTTTAACCCTTTCCACCTCCTCCCCCCGCTCCCCCGCTTCTGCCACGCCCCTGTCTCGCCCTCCCGCATGGGCGGCATCGGGCCCCGTCTATGTTTCTTACCACGTGGCTGGATCCCTCCGAGGGGAGTGTGCACCACGCTAGTGGTGATGACAGAGCGATGTCGTCGAGGAGAGGTGCCGCGGGCGCTGTCCCGGTCGAGTGCACGAGGCGTGGCGCGTCGGTTGCGAAGAGAACCTCCGCGGGGGGCTATGTTCACGCTAGGGTCATTGATCCTATGTCTCTTTAACCTGTTGTCCCCCGCACTCCGAAGTACACTTACACAGTCGCGAACGAGAAGCTACAATAACGATGCCTTCCACTGACGAGCTCAAGGCAAAGGTGAGTAGCGGCGGAATTACAACCCGTGAGAGTGGTAGGGAGGAGGAGCAGGAACAAGAACACCAAGGCGGCCTCCGCGCTTGTCGCACGCGTTTCCGTCCTCCCGCCCCCCCCACCTGCCACACTTTTCCTTTCCTCCGTCACATTCACTGCGTTGTCGCACATGTCTGTGGACCCCATTCCCGCTTCTTCCCGTCGCACATGGGACAGGCCCAAGAGCTGGCCCAGAAAGGACTCGCCATGGCTCAAAATGCCGCGGCCAAATTCAACGAGGACCTTGAGAAAGTGGAGATCCTCCAGGCAAGGCTGCAGGAACTAGAGACTCATGATCGGGGGAATTTGGGGGATCGGGACTGGGGGAGGCGGCTGGACGGGCTCATACATGCTTGCATGACATTTTCCCTCCCTCCCTCCCTCCCTCCCCTCCTCTTATCCTACCGCTTTGCCTCTTCTTCCCGTACGCTCCTCTCTATAGAAAGCGGAGGAAACCATCAGGGTGCCTAAGCTCTACATCGTGCTTGCCTTGACCCTGA